AGCTGATTGACAAGGACTCTTAGACCAGGTAGATTTGAAGGAGGTGCTTATTTCTCCCCCCTTTAATAACATTTTATTGCTTATTGTGAAATTTTATTGCATAACTTTTTCAAGAAAAAACACTACCAATGAATAGAATGGATCTTTTAAGTTTTGTTATTTTATTCAGATTTCCAATACCTGGGCAATTTCTTTTACCGGAACTTTGAACAAATAAACTTTGTGAATTCATTTTTGTGTAAAAGGAATTTTGCTGTTGAGAATGAGGCCTAAACTTTGCCCTACACGTGGGAAGGGGAAAATCCCTGTTTGAAGTTATTTATGGGAAATTATCATTCAATACTGTTTGGTTTGTTCTGTGTTGTCGTCACATATTAGCCAATAAGAAAATGAAATATATGGAGATACACAAAATCCAAGCTCAAAAGTCTAATCAGGAGAATCTGAGTAAACACGGACCACTAAAACATCAGTGGTGGGATCAGGTGCCATGATAGAGTGAGCATCACCTTCCATGTGCTCCTTGTCATGATCAGATATTATTACTCAGCAGAGTTGTCTTTCTTGATTGTATTGTCATTGTTTTATGTTTATTGTGGGAGGTAACCTGGTATACTCAGCCCCCCAACTGTTATTCTGCAGAGTTGTCTATCTTTGTTATTTTGTGTATTTCTAGGGACAGGAAACCTTGTATACTTGACCCCCTCTATTATTCTGAAGAGTTATTTATCTTTATTTTTTCTGTGTCATTCTAGGGGGAGGTAACCTGGTATACTCGGCCCCCACTAGTGCTGGTAAAACAATGGTGGCAGAACTCCTGGTTCTGAAGCGAGTCCTGGAGACAAAGAAGAAAGCCATCTTACCTTTTGTGTCTGATCTGTGTGATGAGAGTCTTGTCTGTAACAATGAGATTGAAAAAGAAAAGGTTCAAGGCAGTAATTAGGATTTGGAAAGTGTGCTGACTGTGAATGACTATACTCTTGGAGGAAAATTACATTTTTAAAAAAAGCTAAATTAATCTTTGTTTGTATGAAGTCTTGACTATTTACCCCGAAACTTCAAACATGTCAGCAGATCACTATTGAAATAGTTTACCCTACTCATTCTCTTAAGGTTTGTTTGGCATGTAATAATGTAAAGGAAAAAAATAATAATTATTATCTTAATGGGAGGGGGTATGCACATTGTCACCTGGTATATCTCGAATAATATTGAAGGGCTTTTCCAAAGTGTAAGTCTTTAGGGAAACTGATTTATGAAAAGCTTTGGGGATTTCTTGATGTAGACTTTGCATCGGAGGTGCATTACTGAAAAGTGCTACAGAATTTTTCCTGACAATCCAGATATTGATAAATGTAGGAAATTTTGTGGTCCTCGATACAATGCAGAAATAAACAGAGTAAAACAAGCTTGTTCTACTTTTTTCTATGCAAATGAGAAAGACAGCTCAAAAACTTATTTCAATCTCCAGGTAAATATAATTGATGAATACCGCTTGGGTTTGTATTCTTATTCCAAAACAAAGCTTTGGCCTTTTTCTTTGCCGTAAACTAACTATCATCTTCTTTGCGATTTGACCGGTCACGGTAGCCTAATGGCAGAGCGTTCGCTTCGTGATCGGGAGGCCCGGGCTCGATTCACGATCGCGGCGCCGCGTCATACCTAAGGTAGTGACTGTTCCTTCGCCAAGCGCTCGGCACTAAAAGTAAAGTCACGGGTCTTTCGGATATGACCTAAAAAACGTAGGTCCCGTGTCACGTTAGGCGTTGGCACGATAAAGAACCCTTACTGCTCAATGAGTGCCGAGTATAGGTCTAAATTTGAAGCCCTTCACCGGCATCGGTGACGTCTCCATATGAGTGAAAAATTCTCAAGAGGGACGTTAAATAATATACAATCAATCAATCTTTGCGATTTGTTAGGGAAAATGTCATACTCGCAGGAATATGGCAATGCAGCAATACTTAGGGTCATTGTGTTGTATTTTAACCGTAGACCGGTTGTAATCGGTGGTAATCCGTGGTAAACGATGCCCCAATATCGGTCCACATCGGCCAAGTAGTCCTTAAAGTATCAGTCACATTATCCAGCGATGGGTATACGATAGGCAACCTATGCGTTTTACTAAAAAAATGGCGTGGTTACCGGTCGGACTTACAAAGGCCCAGCGATGCATTGCTAATCATAAAACGATGTTCCAGGATAATAGGGCGATGTATATTACATTGCACATACATTGGTGAACATTGTTCGTACATCGGTCGACTACGGGCCAATGTTTGGTCGAACATCGACCGATGATCGGTCGTTATCTGTTGAACACTACTCAACCCCGACGATGACCACAGATTCAACGATTATTGGACGATGCGCCGCCATACGTCGGTCGATCCTTCAAAGATGTTTTAATGATTGGTTGCCGATGAGGAGCGATGTGAGGCATCGTTGGTTGGAGACATCGCTGAATTTAAACTACGAATTATTTCCTACCGATGACCCTACCGATTCGCCAAAATAAAACTCAGTCACCGTCCGATCACTAGTGGTGCCCGGCCGACAAACATGCCATTTTCATCAAAAACACATCGGTTTCTCATCGTAAACCCCATCGTTAAATAATATGACTTATACTTAAAGGAGGGGAACGACAGAGGGAAAGAGAAGCAATGCAGGCGTTGGAAAAGAGGAATCGAGAACTCGAGATGGAAGTGAAAAGACTTAGGGTGAAATGAATCTATGGTTTTATTTAGTTGAACACATATGTAAATTATGAAATATTACATAATGTGTGTATGCAAATTGAAAATTAAGGAATAAAAAGATAGGGACACCCTCTTCTTGGAAGAATAAACTTTGATATAGAGACACAGACAGTAAATGACCAATATGTTATGTGATTTTGAGTGAAGTGAACACTTAGAATACATATAGTAATAGCTATTTCTCTTTCTGTTCATTTATGCTATATTGATATGAATTTGTTTGTACATTTATATCAGAATGTGTTGGCATATTGTTTGCATATTTTACGAGGGCTGTTCAATAAATAATGTCCTCGGTGCTAAGAAAGAAGCAAAAGACTCTTTTCAATGATTTAGTCTTCATTATTTTACTAATTAATTTCTTTTAAGTAAAATATATGTCCGTAACATTTTCTATCCAATTTCTGATTGTTTTTAGAACACATTTTTGGGTATGACCCTTAGTATACTGGAAAATGGCAGATCCAATGATTTTCGGGACTTGTTTCTTCCCTCTGAAAGGTGTTTTATTCAAGTTTGGAAATAGAAACATGTCAAAAGGTCAAAGATCTGGCGAATATTGTTAATGTGAAAAAACATTAACTTTCTGTTTATCCCGAAAACCCCTTTACTCTTCAGTGCATGCGGGTTTGGACGCTGTCTTTAAGAAATTCAGTGTAGTGGATTCCTGATTCTGGGTCCTTCCTCTAATAAACCTTTTGATTTTTTTGCCAAAAAATTGCTTTCTAGACTCCTCCAGATATTGAACTGTCTCTCCGAATACGAATTTATACAACAATATATCACTAATTTTTAAGAAAATTAAACATAAATCTGTCTTTGTGCTCTTGAATACCTGTGCTCTTGTCAGACATTCGCCGTTTTTATCATGTACATCTTATGGTAAATTTTGTTTTGAGGGTTTTTATCAATAGATTCATGTTCCAATATCTGTTTGAAAATAAAACAAACGTGGATAACTAAAATTACTGATATTTTAAAATAATTGTTAAGAATTTCGTATACGCTGTCGTTTTCACTCATTTTTCAAAATATAGGGTGACCTTTGAGTACTAAGCTTTTTTACCGTCAAACGTTTCTTAAAAACAGTATAAACTACTCTTGATATGATGTCTATCAAATTTTGTATGTGTCTTAAAGTCAATCATACATCATCAAATATTATTTGTTGAAATTTGGCAACCAGTACATAAGTTGTAATAATTTTTGTTGGCAAGGAGGGTACCCATTTTTGATGCCCATTATATAATTTTTTATCATTAAAATCCACCTGCTCTTTTGTCTATAAAACAGGCATTGGTTGCTGTAAATGTCATATATTTCAGTGAATATTTCTTTGGGATTTTTAACAAGTTTTACGGCAGCTTTAATGAAGCTTTTATTTTCATTCTAGTTTACTGATTCTTTACCATTCATTTATAATGCAGTGTCTCGAAAAGCCCTTGTTTCCCAGCTTCTAACGATGGAACTATGTGATGAAAAGTGGTCACATAAACTATTAAAAATTCACGAAAGATTCAATAATGAGAGAAAGTCAGGTTTAATGTCATATGATATCTGTAATGTATGTTATATAGTTCAGGACATTATTTATTGAACAGCCCTCGTACTTGTAAAATATTAATTCCTTTGTAATTTTAGGAAAATGTTACTAAGCATTGTAATTTATTATTTTTTGACTAATGTGAATGCACATTAGGTCTTAAAGGAGGGGGAGTGTGATGGTTTTGTCTTGTATTTATTTTAGAGTTTGCCTTTTGTCCGTCCGGGATGCGTATATGCGTGTCGCGACTATAGAGCCCGCCCGGTGAGGGTATTTTGGAGGATTCGTTGTACTAGAACTGATTAGACGCACTTTTGGGGATCTGGGTCAAATTATTTTAAATTATCGGTAAATACCAATTATCACACTCTCCAGGACTTTATATTATGATAATGTTTCATATGTAATTGGTTATATTTCATATTTTGTGTTGAATCTGTTAATATTACAGAATACAATATGTTTTAAAACTCTGTAAATCTCGTTATCCTTTAAACTCGGATATCATTTTTATAAAATACGGGACTGACCCTAGGCGATCCCGTTACAATAATATACATGTATATCTTTTTTCCAGTTTATCCAACTTGGGCAAAATTGCCATTACTTTGTAAAATTAGTGAATATCATGAATGAATTATCTTTGTTTCACTTCATGTATAATGTTTGAATGACAGAGTTGTATCTTTGGAATGCTAATACTTGTAGGCTAAGGATGGGAGAACCTCAAAATTTATAACTAAATGCTGTTGAAAAATTTAAAAAGATGTAAAACCCAATCGCAGATATGCCTTAAAATTCTACAGATTGTGTTAAAAGGAGTATAAGAAAGTGCATACATCTGTATCATTTTTCATTTTTTTTGTCATGAACAATTAACATGGTATCAACATGATCAGGGTCTCATATTACAATTAAATGTTAAGTTGTTTTCTTTATATGAATACATGCATGTCTATTAAATGTTTTATAATAAACAATATACTGTCTTATTTTTAAAAGCAACTTCATTCATATAGATTCATTATTTGTTCATGAACTTCATTTTATGAAAACATTCATAAATAAAATTCATTAACTGTCTTTATGAACCAGTCATGAATATTTCATGAAGTTTTGTGAACGCTTCATAAAAGTTTTTGAATCATGAATTTCACCTCAAAAGGGATGTATCAGTGAATGAAAACTATCAAACCAGCTTCAGATGCACGATTTTAGTTACATTTTCATGACAAAGAACTAAGTTGAAGTTTTTATATAGATCTATTTCAAAGTATCAGATCAAAATATTGCATTAATTTTGCATTTTTGGATGTACATTTTTTGTTGGTTGATTGTGTGACTTTGCCTTACTTAAAGGCAACATTCGTTGTTGTGTGCTCTGTAATCTCTGATTACCCATGTTTATGTTTCAAACTGCATATTCACTTGAAAAACAAAAGATTATTTATTTTAACTTCTTCCGACCAACCTTAAGTACTGGGGAGAAAATTTGGAAATCAAGAAATTAAGAAAAATGTAGCCTACGCAATTATATACAACAACTAAACGTTATTGTAAGAAAGATTGTAAAGAATCAGCACAATTTATTCCATAACAAATTTATATCCATTGAAAATGTTTGTATACATGTACAATATTTTACAAACAAAAATTAATTATGTCATTATCATTTCACTTTGTGATGGTTAAAACAAACATAGTCACTAATTCATTGAATGGTTATGTTAGATCTTTTACATATATTTGATTTTTTTCACTTTTGCAAAGAACATCTCACCCACAAAGAGGTTGTCTTTGCTGTCTACGCATAAACTCCATGGATCCAGTAGATCACAGTTATCAATGTAACGGAGGAACTGTCCATCCTTATCTACGATGTGGATACAGCAGTTTTTATAGTCTGCTGTCAGGATCTGACTCTGGCTGTCAGTTGTGATGCCAAATGGATCAAACGGTCCCTTGGTAGTAGAGGGATGACCAGTGTATCTAAATCGGAGTTTTCCTGCCTGATTAACCACAACTACTGCACGGGCACTATTGTCAGCAACACAGATATCCAGGTTCCTGTTCTCATTGATAAAGTAACAAGATGAAAACAGGGGGTTTCCTTCACTGTCAAACTGAATGGTTTTTTTCGCTGTGGACCCAGAGTAAAGGACAACTTTTAATTGTTTATAATCATTACTGACCATGGTTACCAGGAGGTCACCAGAGGAGGTACAACAAACATAGTGAGGAGTCCACCTCCGTAGGCTGATCACTTCCTGTATCTTTTTATTCTTCACTATATTTACAGTTCTTGCATCAGGGTCAGTATAAACAAGATCTCCACTCCTTGTCACTGCCATGTCACGTGGTATGCTCCCTGACTTGGTTTGGATTGACTTCAGTAGTTTACCCTGGAGGTTGTAGAGTTCCATGATATTTCTTAATCCACATGTCCAGATTTCTTCATCACTGAGACAGGTAAGACTGTGTAGTCTGGAATACCTAGCTATGGTGGTGAAGAGCTCAGGTTCATCAAGCAGTGGTTTGACTGGAGGACAGGATACAGCTTCTGGTGTCTTCATTTTGCAGCCATGTTCCTCTGTTGTAATGGATAACGCTGACAGAGAACCAAACATTTGATGGAGCTGTTCTGTGTTGATCTGATGAGGAGAGAAACTTGGTAGTGAAATATTGACTTTAGAAGGTATACTTCTGAATTCAGCATTTCTGGATTTGTACGCAGAGGTAAGGGAGATATCATTGGAGTTCAGTATTTTCTTCAGATCAACTATGCTCTGTTTTAATTCAGAAATAATCTGTTTGATTTCTTTTTCCTGTTTATTTAGAGCAGCGAGGTGTTTAATTTTCATCTCATCAATTTCAAATTGTTGGTTTTTGACAATAATGTTAATTTCTCTGTGCCAGTCTTCTCCTTGTTTGGTGACAGCTGTCGTCAGTTTCTCATAATGTTTATCCAAGTTCACTATTTCAGAGTCTAAATCTGATGCAATTTCTTCGTATGTAGGATAAATTCTTTCTTCGATTTCTTGCAAGTTATTTTCTAAATCTTTTGTTTTAGAACTTTGTTTTAGCAGAGCAATTCTTAATTTATGCCCATGATGTTTATCAGAGGAGATGCAGGTAGAACAGACAGGAATGTCACATTTCTCACAGTAAAGTCTGCACAGTTTCTGAGTGTGGTTTGGACATATAGGGTAGTTAGGGGAAGACGTTCTGTGTTTTATGTATGGTACAATATTGTGTCTTGTAGATGCATCAGATAGATGTTTTCCAACACAGACTATACAGAGGTTTACACGACAAAGTTTACAATGACTCTGTAATGCAGCTGTTTGACACAGGTCACAGAGGAGGATGTTTTGGGCACTGTAATGGGGGTCCATTATTGGTGTTTCTGTCACATGATGAACATGATTCTGTAATATTGTGTGTTTATTATTATACTTCATGTAGGGAGAATGAAGGGCAGAAATTTTAAAAACTATTAAAGTAGTCTTATATAAGATATTATATATAATACAATATAATATATTATATATTACAGAAATTGAAAATCCGCAGAATTTTTACCCCTCGAAAACAGTACTTTTACAGGAAGCTCAAAATTGACATTGAAAGAATAAATAGATCGAAAGGAAGGAATACATGATAACAGATTTAATCAGACATTTATATACATGTACGAGGGTTGTCCCGTAAAATCGTGGACAAGTTGTCTAGTTTGAAAAATAATCTTCACTGCGTTCTTAAATTTTCACCACTTTTTAGTAGATAAATTATGAATACACATAGCAAATTTCAAATAAATATATGCATAGGTAAACAAATTGTGATATTTTATGCTATGTACTGTATCGCCCTACGGCGCACGGATGATTACGTCAAAGTGTCTAAAACAGCGTCACGTTTCATCTTTGCTAAACTTAAAGTTGGATAAGCCCCACTTAAATTTATAATTTTTTATTGATTTACATATGTGAGTATCTATAACCAGTTAAGAAACCAATGTTGCACACTCATGCGATCTTCTGAATATTTATTAGCAAGTTACAGACAGTATTCTCACCATCATTCAACTAAAAGAGAATCTCACATTGACGGTCGACAGTGACAGCGTCCTTTGCTATTACAAATGGCAGTCTGTCCATATGTTTTTTATTATCTGGGGACTCGACCACGAAGACTTCACTAAGAAAACTTTCATTTCATTTATATACTAAAGATCTGGTGATATTTTTTTTTTTTACATTTTTCTTTATTCTGTATTCATTTAAAGTCTCTTAAGGCGTCATTACAAGATCCTAATCTATCTGAACTGCTCTCCGGTGCGCCGTAACGTCATAAAAACTCGCCTTTTTTCGTGTATTGTGTTATTACTTTCCCATTTCAAATGCTCGGGAAACTGTCAAAAATTAACCAAATGCCTTGAAATTTTTAAAAAGACGACAGAATTGATTAAGGAATGGAATAAGGATAATTTTCATCCTAATCTTACGTATTGAAAACTTTTATTACGAATTAATTCTTATGTCATCTCTAATATAACATTGCGATTTTTACCGTGCGCCGTAGGACAATACCTTGTGCACATTCAAGCAGAATAAAATCTTTATTTTTGAATATATATTAAAAAAAAACATTATGATTCACTTAAATATGATGAATAAACATTTACTGAAAATTTCAGCTTAGTGCGCCCATTACTTTTCGAGAAAACCGCTTTGTCCACAATTTTATGGGACAACCCTCGTATTATCAATTGAAAAAAAATTATTATTAGAATGAACAAAATATCAATCTTTAGTCTTTAAGACAAAATATTTATTGAATGACACAACGAGTCTCAGAAGTTTGAAATAACTATAATGTCTCACCTGTAATTTCAAGATGGCCTCCTTAGCCTTAGCCTTTCTCTGTTAAGTATATTTTATGAGACTAATATAATCAACTCCCTTGAAGTAGTTCTATATTTTGACCTACTTTCAAATCACATGATAAAAATACACTGAATCCGCAAGTTATCTGACTTCCAGGTCACATGATTTAAATACATTGTACTTGCAAGTTATCTAGAGTGCTGATATCCTTAAACTTGACAAAGTTAGCTTATTAATATACTTGATAATTTTGATTTATAGATTCCTAAATATACGCGTGGAATTCATTATTGCATAATTTTGCAAGAAGCACACGTGAGATAAAAATCACATGTGAAATAAAAGTACTTGCCTTTATTTTTATGGTACTGAAATCTATGTAAAATCTCGTGATCAATCATTCATTCGCACATTATTATTCTCGCATAAGCACATTGACGATAATAAATACTCAATTAAAATAAGGAATCTATACTAGTTATAATGTCATATTCTACCGACAAACTAAATTTGAAAAGTGTCCATTTCAGATGTTATGTTTGAAAAAATATGATTTAAATTTCTATGATGAAATTGGCAAGAAAATTGACGGAGTAAAATTTGATTATGTTTTGAAACAGGGAGACTCATGCTGACTTCAAAGCACTGATTGTTTTCGTCAGCAATGAGGTCATTTTTTTGGACATGACGTCAAGAAAATGACGTAAATTTAAAATGACCATGATTTCTATAGAAATACGTTAAAATTGCGTCAATATTTTGAGAAAAAATCATCTAGCGCAGGTGTGTTCTGGCTCAATATTTTGATAAAATGTGTGGAATAATAATATCAATTAAATTTGCAAATATTGCACCTGAACAGACATGCGCTTTATAATTTATATAAATAAAATTGCTGAAATTTTATCTATTTTGTTCTTTTTCTGAAAAATAATATAATGCAAAAGCCGACGGGTTTGTGACGTCATGAATTAAAAACAATTTTCAATAATTAACCTACTTTGAAACTATGATAAGTTTTGTTAATTTATATTTTTCATAAAATTTATTCAATACAACACATTTAAAGAATTTTTCAAAATTTTTAATTTTGTAGGGGCAAAGATATGCAATATACCGAATATAGTTCTTTAAGGTAATTCCACCCTCCTATGATGTCATAGGTTTTTGCAAAAACTGTAATAAGTTTCAATTCGTACCTTTTATAACAATATTTCTTGGAAGAATGCTTTACAATAGGTTAAATGATAAATATTGTGCAGTCAAAGAATTTTAAAAATGCATATTTTCTATATTTAATCAATTATTCAATCTTATTGAAATGAAAATGAATGCAGTTTTTGTACTTTGAACCTATAAAATTGTGAGGGTGGAAACACCTTCATCCATTTATTTTCTATAATTCGCGATATTTTTGACCAATTTTTCAAATGTATCTTTTCATTGTTTTATTATTATGCTTTTAAATTTCTGACATGATATTTGAAGAATTTACAGAACTAAAGTGATTTTTCTATGATGTCATTCCTGTGAAAATGATGTCTCTGTAATATTGTAGATTCCTAATTATACGCGAGGAATTGATTTCCATGTAATTTCTCGAGAAGTGTCACTTGCGAAAAAAAAAAATTACTCGCTTTAATTTTCATAATGCTGAAATCTATGAAAATTCTGTTGATCAACCGTCCAATCGCGAATTATAATTCTCACGATTTGACGTGAAAGACCCAGTTTGCGATAAAAAGTACTCGCGAAAAATAAGGAATCTACAGTTGACGTATCACCACCCTTTTGTTAAATTATATGTAATGCTCGAAGTATCGTCAACATAAATCCAAATTATGCATGATAAAACAAATAGCATATGTATACAAATAGCAAATCGGAATTTTAAGACCGTTAAAGCTCCGTAAAAGGCTATACGAAGGGACAGGAAGAAGATTATCGTGATTGAGAGTGACCAATGTCACACTATATCTCCTATATAATTGCAGTTTTAAAACAAAAACCAATATGCTTTACTTGTTTTATTGATTTTAAGCTTGACAGGAAATGTATGGATGTTGAGTAGATAAGGTCACTCAAACTTGATAGTAACTCTTGGAAAAGGTTGAGAAAAAGAAAAAAAAATATTTTTCTATGATTTCCGTGACGTTGATGATTTTGCTGCTCCGTGACTTCCTGAAATGTTTAGATATTTTACTAAATATTGATACCAATTTTCAACATTGATATGAAATTTTTAATATCAAATAACACTGCTTAAGTCATAAATTCTTTCATATCATCTGTGACAATTTGCCCGATTTTTTCGTCAAATATATTTTCTTTGCAACAAGTCCGAATAATTTTTGAATGGTCCTCGTATAAACTGCATCACAGTATAACACAGTACATGTATTACGCATAAATATATCAAATTCAAATATCTCCAATTTCAAATTCCCCACCAAACGACAGTTGCCTTTAAATGAAAGCTGTCCTCATGTGCTACTGACCCATGTGACCCTTGAATGGAAACACGTGGTGCCAATATTTGGAAAAATGTTAAAACACCAAACACTGGGAATCTTGGGTGTGTTGTCAGTGTTGGACATACCCGTTTCTCAAACCTACCATTTACAATTTCAACTTAGAATATTTTCATCACATAGAAAAATTCTTGTTTAAAGCAGGATGTTGCATTTTCTCACAGTTACATGTAAAGATTTATCAAGGTATATATGCAAATGATGAAAAATCTTTTTTTTAAATTGTTTGCATAAAAACTAAAATCAAATAAAAGATTTTGTCTATGACTTTAAGTCAGATTTGATCAAGCCTGCTGAAATGTTAGCTCGGGCACTTCTAAAAACCAGTAAATTATAAACTGAGTTTACTTTAATTTTTGACAATTGAATAATTGTATCATTATTATTTTTAAAAAATTAGAATTTATATGGATTCCTATATAATAATTGTTCTCAAACGCTCTATATGGCAGTGGATAGATAATATGTTGAATTACTGTTGAATTACAGTAAATTAACATTTTACACCGCAGTGCCAATGATGAATGATTTTGCGTCTTTATCAGCAAATGTCTGTGAAGATAACAATATGTAATTAAGTCAAAGGGAATAAAAAGCACTTCACTGAAACATTTTGTGTAAGCAAAAAAATAAAATGTACACGGACACCCCAACCCCTCCCTTCCCGCAAAAATGAATAAATAGATACTAGTAAATGAATAAAATAAACAATGAATAAATAAGTTAATACACGGTTTTGCGAACACATCTACCTACGGGTAAGTGCAGGCGAGGCTGTTGTCACATTTATTTTTCTTTTACAAAAATATGTCTCTTTTTACATGTTTTACTTGCACTTAGAACAAACAAAATTTTAACCTAAGATTTAATTAGTTATTCTCAAACCAAAAAAAATGTCTCAGACACTAGAAAATAAAATTTTGTAACGCTGTATATAAATTTCATTATATTTTTAAATTTGTTTTTCAATATATT